CCTGGCCTGGTGGTTGTGCAGGTCTGTGGACGGGAGGGCATGTCTAAATCTGGAAGCTCCTTTCAACAACCAGGACGGCCCCATATAATAACCCCTATTTGTATGCATAATGTGTAGAGTGTCCACCCCTAGCAAGATACAATCCCCCTGGATGAGGGCATGTCTCTGAAAATGTGTTATAGAGCTTCTCATCCTTCTAATGTTTCATCTTGAGTTCTCTCTGCTGGAGCATGAGGGTGTCCATGCACCACAAATTAGTGGAGTCGGAGGAACTTGAATCCTTGGGGTCATTGAGGATGATATTGTCCTGAGCTATTTCTCTTCATTCATATACTACTTCTGAGATTTGGGAGACATGAAACCCACTGCCCCTGGGATGAAAAAAAATGTTCTTCTTCTTCCGACTGCCATGCCTCGAGTGCTCTGTCTATGATGCCAAACAGTGTATGCTCCAATAGGAACACAACTGGTACAGAGTCATTGTAAATTCATTGTCACAATTTGCAAAGGCATTAGAACACCTGTCAGTTTTTATTGTTGTCTCTGCCCTCATTAGGAAGATTAACCCTCTCTTATTGTCCTGTTTACTGTCATCACTGAAAGTGAAAGTAAAAGAAAATCCAAAATTTTGGGATGTCCCCAGAAAAGTAATAGAGGAGAAATCTTCCAATGGGGACACTAGTTCTGGTGACCTGGGAGTCCGCAAGGAATTTCTGTATTTTTCAGGAATTATCGGCAATTAGGTGAGGGCGGGGTAGACTTTCCTGAAGATATGGGTTTTCAGGGTGTGCCTAAAGGTGAGGAGGGTAGGTGACAGTCTCATGGATCGGGGTAGTGAGTTCCAGAGGATGGGGGATGCCCTGGAGAAGTCCTGGAGACAGGTATGGGAGGAGGAGACCAGGGAACTAGAGAGTAGGAGGTCTTGTGAGGAGCGAAGAGTACGTTTTGGGTGGTAAATGGATATCAGGTCGGTGATGTAGTTTGGGGCAGTGTTATGAACAGCTTTGTACGACAATGTTAGTAATTTGAATTTTATGCGTTGGGCAATCGGAAGCCAGTGGAGGGATTGGCAGAGAGGGGTGGCGGATACAGAGCGGTTAGTAAGGTGGATGAGTCTGGCCACTGAGTTCAGGATAGACTGAAGCGGGGATAGCCTTTGATGAGGTAGGCCGGTGAGGAGGGAGTTACAGTAGTCAAGTCTTGAGATAATAAGGGAGTGGATGAGTTGCTTTGTAGTTTCCAGGGTTAGGAACGACGAGCGTATTTTGGAGATGTTGCGGAGGTGGAGTCCGCATGAATTTGTCAGCGATTGGACCTGGGGCTGGAAGGACAGATTGGAGTCTAGAATGACACCTACTACTCTGGCTTGTGGGATGGGGCTGATGGTGGCATTGTTGGTCGTGATGGAGAAGTCGGCCAGGGGGCGCGGGCTGGGATATGATGTGTTTGTTATTTTTTTTTTAAATTAAGCCTTTCATATCACTTTAAATTCTTAACTTTAAATACTTGACCTATCCTGCTGACAATTCAGTTGTTCCTCTCCCAATTCATCAAAAACAACTAGAGTGGGGTTTTCACAATGCTTCAGTACAGACAATATTTTAAATGGTAATTTGAAACAAATAAAGAAATATTGAATTAAAAGAGTTCTGAGCAAACATTACACTTGCTAAACCAATCACTGCAAGATAATAGTCAGGAGTGTGTCCCACTTATCTCTCTGAAGCAATCCAATACTGCATGCCACGGCCCCCCAGCAGCCTGCAACTCAGCGTTTGCAAGCTGCAAGTGAACTGCCCTCGAACTGCAAGTAGGCAACCTTCTGGACTGGGCAAGAAAGGTTCCTTTACGTTGATTGGCCGGCTTTCACATTCCCCTCCTTTCTGATCATCTGTTGACAGGCCCAGCCCCTAGCAGCAGGTCCTCTCTTCTGATTGGCCACAGCACATCACAAACCCAGGGCCATTTAATCATCATAAGCCCAGGGCCTCTGAAATGCTTTGACTTGTTCCCTTTTAGTATCCTAAACCCATTGGGGTTTTTTCTATACCGCCTTGCAGTCACTGGAGGTACCCCTGATGCCCTCTAAGTTACAAAGCTGTCTAACCAGATCCCCTCTTAGACAGCTGTCATTGGAACAGGGGAACCTGTTATAAGATTTTCTCTCTATTTCACATTACCTAATGGCCCAATCAGGGGTGGACTGACAACTCATGGGGCCCCTGGGTAATAGGGGATCATGGGGCCCGTGTCCTTGCCTAAACTCAAAAAAGCCTATGAAAAAGGTACCAGGGATATCTCATGGGGCCCCCTACTGACCCCGGGCCCTCGGGCAGTGCCCGAGTTTCCAAATGGCCAGTCCGTCCCTGGGCCCAATGGCTATGGAGACGAATAGAGAGAGTAAATCTTCTTAGGGATACACAACAATAAAACATTCAGAGGAGTTTCAAAACTTTTCAAATTAAAAAAAATGTTTTTGGCTTGAGATACACTTTAAAGTGTTACTAAACCCACAACAGTACAATCAGTCTGTATATGCAGTAAAGCATGCTTGTTATACTCATTGTGGAACCTAAGGGGTTATTCCTCTGCATTATGTAAAAATGCTGTTTTTTCCTGTCTTTTCTGATCCCCCACTTCTTCTACTGTCCCCAATCCATCTGCTGGTGGAACTGAGCCTTGGGGGCAAGCTGCACATGCTCAGTTTGGTGTGTATTGCTAGAGATTTTTTTTTCTTGGGAGAGTGCATGTGATCAGCAAAGGGCACTGTCCAGACAGAGGGTCAGGGGTTATGCAGCCTCATAAGACAATCAGGGGAGAATGAAAACTCCTACAAGCTTTAACCGGTGCTCTGCCAGACACTGATAAAAGTCATAAGACTGCTATATACTGCTGATGAGAAAAGGTTTTAACCCCTTGCGCTCGAGAGGATTTACCCCCCTTCCTGACCAGGCCATATTTTGGCGATACGATGCTGTGTTACTTTAACTGACAATTGCAAGGTCATGCAATGCTGCACCCAAATGAAATTTATGTAATTGTTTTCCCACAAATGGAGCTTTCTTTCATTTGATCATCTGTGCATTTTTTATTTTTAGTGCTATAAACAAAAAAAGATCGACAATTTTGAGAAAAAAAATATATTTTTGACTTTTTTGCTATTAAACATGTCCAATAAAAAATTTAAGAAAAAACGAATTTCATCATAAATTTAGGCCAAAATATATTCTGCTCCATGTCTTTGCTAAAAAAAATCCCAATACGTGTAAATTAATTGGTTTACGTGAAAGTCATAGCATCTACAAACAGTATATATACTGAAATTTTTTTTTCTAATACTAGTAATGGCAGCAATCAGACTTATAGCGGGACTGCGGCGGACATTCTGATACTGGGGGGAACTGACTTGGTGTCACTGACATCCCCAGTGACACTAATACAGTGATCAGTGCTAATTAAAAGCACTGATGTGAGATGGGGAAACAACTCTCATTGTTTGAACACTGTTTGTGTGCAGTAAATTATTGTGTGGAGTAAATTAAATGTTCTGGAGTGACATTCTGCGGTTTAGCCACAAGATGCCACTGTTTTCCTAACACAGCCTCAGACTGCATAGATATTTCTATATTCATGAAGAGGTGGGGTTTTCACACAGAGTTTTAGAGAACAGGAAGGAGAGAGACAGCAGCCATGTTTAGAGGATGGTGAATGCAGGAGCCGTGTGAGCAGAGAATCTGATGGCATCCAGGTGTGACAGCATCCCTCAGTAACCAGAGCTGCAGCTAGGTGAAGCTGATCGTGTCCAAGACCCTGATCCTGTTCAGAGAAAGGAAGATTGCTGCCAGGAATGCTGATGAGAGCAGAGGAACAAAGCAACATACACTGCGATACCGCATGCTTGTTGGAGAGACATTTTTCTGTTCAGAGTCACCAGCGGATGCAAAGCAGAGGCGGGTCGGTAAGATCGTGCACGTACCTCATTTCAGTGCTGGCGCCCAGAGACTGAGTCCAGGCCTATAGTTAGTTAGTTAGGGTCTCTGTTTGTGTCAGGCCACAAGTGTTGTTACTGATCATTGGAAGGACTCCACAACTTAAAGTGACATTTCACATTGGAGAGCTGATAACATCCCACAAACTCAAGCCAGACTGGCGTTTTGCTCAGAAGGAATACTCAGGCACGTGCTACAGTTATGAGAGGGGGAATACTGTAGATTTGTGTAAGATTGTAAGCTGTTGTGCTGCACCGCAGGCTAGCCTATACCGTACACCCATACACTGATTCCTGCTCTTGTAGGGTAATAACAGGTAAGGTGTGGCAGCTTAGTTGTGCCCACCAGTAGGTAAATTACTTCACTTTCTACCTTCATCCATCAGGGGGCGCCGTGCTGTGCAGCACAAGGGTCTCAGGCTTTGGGATGGGTGTATGTAAATTTATTGTATGTTCTCAGCATTTGTGGTTGTGTTTATTTGCCACATCTAAGTAAAAATTCTGTTGTGGCAAAAGCTGGTGTTGGGGTTGCTTTCCTCGTTCGTGACTTCACTGTATCCTGGGGAGCCCACCCCAGTACACGGCTTACATTCCCCCGAATCCTGACTCAGCTTTACTGAATGTAAATATTGACATAATTAACCCCCATGCCAGACACCCTGTCACCCACGTTCTTTTGGCAGCCAGATTGAGTATTACTAGATCTTGAAAAAACTCTCACTCGCCTACTGCTTTTGATGCTATCACATTAGTTCACAGCCATTGTTCTTATGAACTTGCAATGGCTTCTAGCAAAAGTACCGTATTTTTCGCTCCATAAGACGCACTTTTTTCCCCCAAAAAAGGGGGGAAAATGTCAGTGCGTCTTATGGAGCGAATATGGAGCGGCCGGTCCGGTATTTCTATCGCCGCCGTTTCAAAATACCGGGCCGGCCGCTCAGCTCTGCAGCAGGACCTTACCTGTTCCTCGGTCCATTGTTGCGCAGTCTTCCCGTGCTGGCTTCTTTAGTGTGGGCTCTCGGCTCGACAGCCAGGTGCCCAGTGCGCATGGGCGAGTAGCGCTGCACTTTGTGAATGGTACGGCGTCTTCTGGGACACATGACAGGTCCCAGAAGACGGCGGACCAATCACAAAGGGCAGCGCTTCTCGTGCATGCCACACTAATGGGAGGACAACTGCGCGGAAGTGGGGGCGGGTACCTGTCAAATTCAGGTACCCGCTCCCTCTCCCTCCCCAAAGGTCAGCAGTCATCTCCTGTACTGTCTGCAGTCTCTGGTCATCCCCTGTACTGTCCGCAGTCTCTGGTCATCTCCTGTACTATGTCCGCAGTCTCTGGTCATCTCCTGTACTATGTCCGCAGTCTCTGGTCATTCCCTGTACTACTGTATGTCCACAGTCTCTGGTCATCTCCTGTACTGTGTCAGCAGTCTCTGGTCATCTCCTGTACTATGTCCGCAGTCTCTGGTCATCTCCTGTACTATGTCCGCAGTCTCTGGTCATCTCCTGTACTGTGTCCGCAGTCTCTGGTCATCTCCTGTACTGTGTCCGCAGTCTCTGGTCATCTTCTGTACTGTGTCCGCAGTCTCTGGTCATCTCTTGTACTGTGTCCGCAGTCTCTGGACATCTCCTGTACTGTGTCCGCAGTCTCTGGTCATCTCCTGTACTGTGTCCGCAGTCTCTGGACATCTCCTGTACTGTGTCCGCAGTCTCTGGACATCTCCTGTACTGTGTCCGCAGTCTCTGGTCATCTCCTGTACTGTGTCCGCAGTCTCTGGTCATCTCCTGTACTGTGTCCGCAGTCTCTGGTCATCTCCTGTACTGTGTCTGCAGTCTTTGGTCATCCCCTGTACTGTGTCCCCAGTCTCTGGTCATCTCCTGTACTGTGTCCGCAGTCTCTGGTCATCTCCTGTACTGTGTCCGCAGTCTCTGGTCATCTCCTGTACTGTGTCCGCAGTCTCTGGTCATCTCCTGTACTATGTCCGCAGTCTCTGGTCATCTCCTGTACTATGTCTGCAGTCTCTGGTCATCTCCTGTAGTATGTCCGCAGTCTCTGGTCATCTCCTGAACTATGTCCGCAGTGTCAGGGCTCCCAGGTGTGACCAGAGGTGTGTGACTGACGCAGGGAAACGCAGGCTTCAGATATGTTATAAACAATGTAATTTATTAACACTAACAATACAAACATAAACGCAGTGCAATACTAAAACATAACACAGTGCAACGAACCAAACCAACCACCCACAGATAACAGTACATACAATGCAAGCGTCGTTAGGCAGGCCGGGTCAATATCAATCGGGCAGGTAGGTACAGGGGGAGCAAGCGGAGAATGGTCGGAGTCACAAGCCAGGTTCAGCAGGTAGCGGGCAGCGTGGTAGAGAGGGTCAGGCAGAGGAGAATGGTCAGACAAGCCAGGGATCAGAGCAGGGTCAGCAGAGAATCAGACAGGAACAGGGAACAGGGAGCAGGAACAGGATACAGGGCCCAGGAGAAACACAACACCAAGGCAGAGTCTGCAGGTCTGAATGTCCCTTAAATACACCAGTATAATTAGTTCCAGGTGTTTGACTGGCTGCAAAGTTGAGTCTCTGATTGCTGGGAGCACCCGCTGGCCAGCCCTGGTACTGCAGCTCATAAGGCAGCTGAGTCCCACTATTGCTGGCCAGTCCATTCCTGACAGTACCCCCCCTCAAGGAGCGGCCTCAGGACGCTCCGAACAGTCCTAGCTGGGCAAAATGTTCCACCGCCCGGGTCTGGTAACTGGCGGGATATCAAAGACTGGCACACCGGGCAGGACTCCGGGCAGCGGGCACATCGGGCAGGACTCCGGGCAGAGGCACATCGGGCTGGACTCCGGGCAGAGGCACATCGGGCTGGACTCCGGGCAGAAGCACATCGGGCTGGACTCCGGGCAGAGGCACACCGGGCAGAGGCACACCGGGCTGGACTCTGGGCAGAGGCACATCAGGCAGGACTCCGGGCAGAGGCACATCGGGCAGGACTCCGGGCAGAGGCACATCGGGCAGGACTCCGGGCAGAGGCACATCGGGCAGGACTCCGGGCAGAGGCACATCGGGCTGGACTCCGGGCAGAGGCACATCGGACAGAGGCACACCGGGCAAAGGCACATCGGGCAGAGGCATCAGGCTGAGTAGAGGCATCAGGCTGAATGGCGGGTGCCGAGGCACCAGGCTGAACCACGGAAGGCAGGTTCTCAGACGGCAGGCTCACTGGTTTGGATACTGGCAGGATGGTATTGGTTGGAAAGAATTTTCGCTTTTTTCTGGTTTTAACTACTGGAGCACTGCAAGTAAATGCAGGTCTGCAAACGAATGGAGCAGCTGGAGACAGAGAAGAAATGGAGGATGGAACAGGAGAGGGAACAGTTGCTACAGAGGGCTTTTTTTACAGGGTTAAAGGCAGGATAGGTGCAGCGAGTGGGAACAGGGTACTGACATGCGGTAGATAGCAGGGCAGGAGGAGCTGTTGGGAATGTAGGAATAGAGCTTTGAGGAAATAGATTAGAAGCAGGACTGGGTTTTTGTAAGCTGACTGAGGCTGGGTGCAACAAGTCTGTCCATGTCTGCAGTATGGGTTGAACAAAGCTGAGCTTACACAAAGCCTGTCTGGTCAATGACTGTACTGCGTTTATACAATCTCTCAGTGTCTGTGGTGAACATGTGGAATAACGCTCCAGAAAGTAACCCACATCATCCTCTAATAACCACACCAGGGACTCTACCTGGTCTGCACTAAATGGTGGCAAAAATTCATCCCTGCATTCGGGGGTACCAGATGAAACCAACTCAGCACAAACCTCAATCAAAGGCTGCACCTCAGAGAACTCTGTGCCCTGATCTACTAGAACATGAGCGAGCCGTACACCAGTATAATTAGTTCCAGGTGTTTGACTGGCTGCAAGGTTGAGTCTCTGATTGCTGGGAGCACCCGCTGGCCAGCCCTGGTACTGCAGCTCATAAGGCAGCTGAGTCCCACTATTGCTGGCCAGTCCATTCCTGACACGCAGTCTCTGGTCATCTCCTGTACTATGTCCGCAGTCTCTGGTCATCTCCCGTACTATGTCCGCAGTCTCTGGTCATCTCCTCTACTATGTCCTCAGTCTCTGGTCATCTCCTCTACTATGTCTGCAGTCCATTGGTTCAGAATATTTTTTATCTTGTTTTCTGCCTCTAAAACCTAGGTGCGTCTTATGGTCAGGTGCATCTTATGGAGCGAAAAATACGGTAAATATAGAAAAGTACTTGCCCTTTGGCAACCTTGGCTCAGATGGTACCAAACAAACCCACCTGTGTAAACCTTACTTTTGGAGAAAGTTCTTTAGCTGATCTCTTTAAGCTTTGACATTTTAAGCTCATACGTTATTGTGTCACTGGTCTGTTCATGTTTGTTTTTCTCTGTTGTGTTTTACTGTATCTATTTTCTCTTATCTTATCCATGACTGTAGAATGTTGGTCTACTACATACGGTATATCTTGTATTTCTATGCAAAGATACAAGAAAAAAAATATTACACAAACATAAGACATATTAAAATCAGTCTATATTAATCCCCCATTATGCTTTAGGGACACTTTGAAGGCTATATAATATTGTACATTTAATCCAGCAGCCATCACACCTTCAGAATATCCAGCAACCTGTATTACATGTTAATACTCTATAACCTGAATTACTGCTTGGAAAGGATAAGTAGCACTAGCTCATTGCAGAAATGTCTGAAAGATGGTTACTTCTTAAAGTCATAGCATGTTTTAGTGTCTTACTATTGATGCAAAATCAACACCAAAGCACTGGACTGCCATGTTTTATCAGGAAAGTATATTCTGTGTTTAATATAAGATATTTTCAAGATGGAGACATTATTATTGGTGGAATATTCACTGTTCACAGTTATTATGATGGAAGTGGTTTCAGACATTTCTGCTATCTGTAAGTATAGTTGTATTCCTAAAATGGAAGTAAACTGATTACATTGAAGATTTTGTGTCCCCAGAAGGTTGTTGCCATTATGTGCAAGTATGCACAGAGTATTTTCAAGTTATGGCAGACCTACCTAAGAGAATGACCCTCTCCAGCTCTGACATGTCAGAGGGGTGCTTCCATCTTCTTCAGGTGTTCTTCTAGGTTTGGGGTCTTCAACCGCTTGCTTGGCTAAACCCAGATGGCATAACTCTTATACATGCACACAGGGGTTACTTTGATTCATACACATTCATTATGAGACTGTATACTAAGCTATGTATGCTTGCCTCGGTGTGCATTTCTATAAAAAAGAGCTTACAGGCAGATAAACTTTACTAGGGCAGAAAATAATTTCACTTTATAGCATCTGTATGTAAATGAAATGTGTTCTTGCACCTACTGCCCACTGCCATACCCACTGCTCTCCTCTCCTGAACATATTGCCCATTGTCATACCATACACATTCCTCTGCTGCACGAACTGCCCACTGTCATACCCTCCATACTCTTTTCCTGGACATATTGTCCACTGCCATACCCTCCACACTTCTCTCCTGTACTTATTGCTAGCTGTCATACTTTCCACTCTCCTCTCCTGCACATACTACCCACTCTAATATCCTCTACATTCCTCTCCTCTACATACTGCCCCCTGTCATACCCTTCATACTCCTCTCCTAAGCATAGTGTCCACTGTCATACCCTCTATATTCCTCTCCTGCACATACTGTCCACTGTCATACCCTCTACACTCCTCTCCTGTACATACTGCCCACTGTCATACCCTCTACACTCCTCTCCTGTACATACTGCCCACTGTCATACCCTCCACACTCCTCTCCTGTACATAGTGCCCACTGTCATACCATCCACATTTCTCTCCTGTGCATACTGCCCACTGTCATACCCACCACACTTCTCTCCTGTGCATACTACCCACTGTCATACCCTCCACACTCCTTTCCTCTGCCATATGCCCATTGCCATACTCTCCCCACTGCTCTCCTGTACATAGTACCCATTGTCATACCATACACACTCCTCTTCTCAACATACTGCCCACCGCCATACTCTCCACACTCCTCTCCTGTATATACTGCCCACTGTCATACTCTCCACACTCCTCTCCTGTACATACTACCGACTGGCATAGACTCCACATTCATCTGCTGTACATACTGTGTTCTTGGCACCTACTGCCCACTGCCATACCCACTGCTCTCCTCTCCTGAACATAGTGCCCATTGTCATACCATACACATTCCTCTCCTGTGCAGAGTGCCTACTGTTATAGCTGTACATACTGTCCACAGTCATACCCTCCACACTTCTCCACTGTACCTTTTGATAGCTGTCATATTTTCCACTCTCCTCTCCTACACATACTACCCACTCTAATATCCTCTACATTCCTCTCCTGTACATACTTCCCCCTGTCATACCCTTCATACTCCTCTCCTAAGCATAGTGTCCACTGTCATACCCTCTATACTCCTCTCCTGCACCTACTGCTCCCTGTCATACCCTCCACACTCCTCTCCTGTACATACTACCCCGTCATACCCTCCACACTCCTCTCCTGTACATACTACCCCGTCATACCCTCCACACTCCTCTCCTGTACATACTACCCATTGGCATAGACTCCACACTCCTCTCCTGTACATACTACCCATTGGCATAGACTCCACACTCTTGCTTTGGTGGTTTTTTGAACAGTGCATGTTTGCACTATTTATGGATATTTTGTCATGTTTTCTTACCCTAGGTTCACACCTAAGCATTTACGCAGCGTTTTGCATTTTGCAGAAACTCACTACAGTCCATTTAACATGATTTCCAATGGGACACGGTCACATCTCTGCATTTTTTGGAAAGAGTCAGGGGCTTTCTTTGAACGCAAAAATTAGCGTTTTTGGTTCTATAGACTTCAATGGAAATGCTGAAGAAAAGCATGTAGTGCATTTTTGCTGCGTTTTTGCTGCATTTTTGCATCATTTTGCATTTTCAATCTGCCTAGCAACAAGAAAAAAACCCGCAAAGTGCATCAAAAATGCGACAAAAACAAAATGCCTAATGAAGGGGTCCTGCGAGACTCCAAAACGTTGCCTTGCTGTCAGGGGCGGACTGACAACTCATGGGGCCCCCGGGCAATACGGGATCATGGGGCCCCTGTGTCCTTGCCCAAACTCAAAAAATCCTATGAACAAGGTACCAGGGGCATCTCATGGGGCCCCCTACTGACCCCAGGCCCTTGGGCAGTGCCCGAGTTTCCAAATGGTCAGTCCACCCCTGTGAACAATCTAAGGTCCCTAACTCATATTAGGGCCAATTAACCTACCAACATGTCTTTGGAGTGTGGGAGGAAACCCACACAGGCACATGGAGAACATGGAAACTCCATGCAGGTAGTGCCATGGTTGGGATTCAAACCAATGACCCTAGTGTTGCTAGGTTGATGCACTACCCACCTAGCCACTGTGCTGCCTGGAGAGCTAGCATTTTTAGAAGGAGATATCAGCAATAACAACATCAATTTGGCAAACAAAAGTGTTTATGTGTGCATGGAACAACGTGTGGTGATGAAGTTCTTTGTGAATGAAAGTGTAAAACCCGCCAATATCTACAGAAGACTTCAAGCACAGAACGGTGATGAGACTCCCAGTAAGACAAATGAATGGTGTAAACGTTTTAACCACTTGCTCTCCTGAGGATTTACCCCCCTTAATGACCAGGCCTCTTTTTGCTACTCGGCGCTGCACTAATTCAACTGATAATTGCGCGGTCATGCAATGCTGCACCCAAACAAAATTTACGTCCTTTTTTCACACAAATAGAGCTTTCTTTTGGTGGTATTTGATCACCTTTGCACTTTTTATTTTTTTACGCTATAAACAAAAAAATGCCAAAAATTTTGAAGAAAAACTATATTTTTTACTTACAGCTATAAAAAATATATAGTAAACTCAAAGTTGGTTATAAATTTAGGCCAAAATGTATTCTGCTCCATGTTTTTGGTAAAAAAAAATCCCAATAAGTGTATATTGATTGCTTTGTGTGGAAGTTATAGGATCTACAAACTATGGTATAAATACTGCAACTTACACCATTTTTCTGCTATACAGCGCTGTGCTAGTTTAACGGACAATTGCGCGGTCATGCAATACGATACATAAATGGAATTTACACTCTTTTTTTCCCCACAAATACTTTTGGTGGTATTTGATCGCCTGTGCGGTTTTTATTTTTTGCGCTATAAAAAAAAAAGGCTGACAATTTTGAGGAAAAAAAAAAACAATATTTTGGACTTTTTGCTATAAAACATGTCCAGTAAAAAAAAAAATGCAAAAATCTAATTTAGTCATAAATTTCTGCCAAAATGCATTCTGCGACATGTCTTTGCTAAAAAAAAAAACCCAATACGTGTAAATAAATTGGTTTACGTGAAAGTTATAGCATTTACAAATGGCGGGAAAGATACTGGGATTTTTAGTTTTTTTTTTTATACTCATAATGGCGGTGATCAGCGAATTATGACGGCGATCAGGGACTTATGGCAGCGACCAGCGTCTTATGGCGGGACTGCGGCGGACATTCTGACATTGGGGGGTACTGACTTGGGGTCACTGACATCCCCAAAAACACTAATACAGTGATCAGTGCAAAAAGAAAAACACTGACACTGTACTAATGGCACTGGGGAGGAAGGGGTTAACTTTATTTTGCAGGGAAGGGTTATCTGAGTGAGGGGAGCGTTTTACTAGGGGGCGGGGGGGTGCTGGACAAGACAAGGCTGATCGAGAGAGAGAAACTCTTCTGTCTCAATCAGCTCATCCTCGAGCTGACAAGGAAGTGATAGACAGCACAGCTACTGCAGCTGTGCTCTCTGTCACTGTTTACTGCCGATCGCCGGGAAACAGCCGCTAAGGACCGTCTGTGACATCCGCGGCGGTGATCGGCGGGACAGATAGGGCGGTGGCGCGCCTCGCGCGCACCCCCTATTTGTTTACAATACACACGTTTTAAAACGTGGTTTTGCCTGCCAGTGCCGCCCTGCCGCCATATTTCTACAGTGGCTGGGCGGCAAGTGGTTAATATTGTTCATCATATCAAATTTTACTGTGTGTTTTTTCCCTTGTAGGACTGTACACTGATGTGTAATGTGATGATAATAATAATAATGATAATAATAATAATAAATACATCTGAAATAATAATGATAATAATAATATTGTTTTTTATATTTAATTTTACTATGTGTTTTGTCCCCTCCTAGGCCTATGCCCCAATACTATCGCTACATGTTGACTTTCACTTTTGCGATAGATGAAATAAACAAAAATCCTAATATATTACCCAACATGACTCTGGGTTACCATATGTATGATTCCTGTAATGATGTGAGTAAGGCTGTGGAAACTGTTCTACAAATCTTATCCGGGTCTGGTGACACAGTTCCTAATTTTTCCTGCAAAGATCAAGACAAACTGGCTGGTGTTATAGGAGATCAGACTTCTGAAAGTTCTCTACATGTCTTTGAAATCCTAAATATTTATGGATATATCCAGGTATTATTGATTATGTTTCATTGCATAATCGTTTGTCTATTGAAAATGCATTTAAATTATTTCTGTGCAAATAGGGTTCGATCTGAGCATGTAGCCTGGCAGGCCAAGAAAGGGCCAAGAAAGGGGGTGTGCATGCAGCTCCCCTGAACCACTAGGCTACATACCTTCAACATGGGGAGTACCCTGGTCTGGTGGTTGTGGGAGTCTTCTTGAAGAATCTGGAAGTTCCGTTTAACAATAAGGGGGCACGCAGACACCACCCCTCCCCATGGAAAATTGTCACATTATAGCACGCTAATGGCCCATTTAGATCAAGGCTGTGTAAAACGAAGGGGTGAGGATGCTGGAGACAGCATTGATTTAATATGACCATATGGCCATGTTTGGTCTAAGACATTGTACAAATACTACCATGTTGCCATTCTAGGTAAATTATGTCACCAGCATCCCCACCCCTTTGTTATATGCAGCCGTGGGATGGGGATTTCCACAGGTGTAGCCAATTCTTCTGGTGTTCGTATGAGAAGTTTCTGTGAGTTGGGGCCTAACTTTTTTTTGCCCTGAATCTTAGCTCAAGGCAATCATGATGTCAACCTGAACCCTGCTTGCTTGCAATTTGCTGAACAGGCAAACTAAATAGCCAGATTTGGCCAGTTCAACTGCCTACCCAAACCTTTGGCTGCTGCTGCTGGAAGTCATTTAGTTAATAGCATTTCTGAAATTCCACTAAATGGAAATTTGCCCCTGGCTTATTGAACACCATAATTAAGCTGGTGGGGACAAAGAATGACCTACAGTATTTGGTCAATTACATTACCTAAGTACACTGATGTTGAGCACCAGTGTACTGGCATCATTGGGGCGTGGATCAATGAGACAGCTCAGTGTGACTGACTTGGATCTACATTACTGAACACTGCAATTGTCATTGGATTTACAATGTTAACTTTTTTAAAAAAGAGCTTTTCATGGTTTTTGTGCTTTTATTTACTATTCACCTACGAATGAGTAACAAGGGGTACTATGCAACCCTTGTTAATTCTTGTAGGGGGAAATGCTATATGTATCCTATTTTAAAGGGCCTTCCAGTTTCTGATCCCCCCATGGACCCCCAGACCATGGTTGTGGGGATAAGGCTTTTGTTCCCATCATCATGGACTTTTAGGGGAACCCTATGCTAGTTTTTTTTTGGTAAATATCACTGGATTACATTGTACAGATGCATTGATATACAGTATGTTCCCCAGGCAGTACACAGCTGCCCATGCCATTTTTTACCAAACGTTTGCAAACTGGGCATGTAAATGGGCAGAAAAAATGTAAAACGTTGCTGATCTGATTGACTTCAATAGGGTCCAGGTGTTATATTGCCCAGCAAAATCAACCTAAGAGCTGACAGTTGGAGTACAAAAGAAGTCTCCAGGATCTCCAAAATTTCACAGTTGGGGTCAAAGTGCATGTATCTACAATCAGAAAGTTGCACCAAATCACTCTGCATGAGAAATGTATTTAGAAAAGGTATTTGCTTTCTTAAAAAAAAGAACATTAGATCAATATTACAGTTTTCTACTGAACATATAGGTAAAGTCTAGGCAGTCTGGAAAAATGTGCTGAAGAGTGATCAATCAGTGTTTAAAGCGGAGTTCCACTCACACTGGCAAAAAATAAAAGTCAGCAGCCACTTACCTGTTCCTCGGTCCTGTGGTGTGTCCCCTGTGGCAAGTTTCACCAGCCATCCTGTATCCCAGGAGACCGGCATCTTCAATGTGGGTACCTGGCTGTGATAGCTTGCGGCTTCACGGCTGGGTACCCACTACGCATGCGTGAGTAGCGCTGCACTTCACGAATGGTCCTGTAGTCTTCTGGGACCTGTCACATGTCCCAAAAGACTACAGGGAGGGAGGGGGGAGGACACCTTCTGCTTCCTATCGCCTAGGAGATCGGACCGGAAGTGGGAGCGAGTACCTGTCAAATTTGGGTACCCGCTCCCCCAGCCCCCAAAGGTGCCAATCCTTAATGGGGAGCAGGACAGCAGTCCCTAAAGTGGAACCTCTCCTTTTGGGTGGAGCTCCGCTTTAAGTTGTTTGGCCACAATACCAGTAGACACGTTTTCCACAATCCAAAGACAACATTTCCGAAGAACCCCATAACATCTGTAAATCATGGTGGTGGAATTGTTATGGTTTGGGGTTGCTCTTCTGCCTCTGGGTTTGAGCAGCTCACAGTCATTGCATCAGTTAGTCTGCATCAGCTCAACATGTACTTGAAAAGAATTTGTGACCATCTATTAAAAAGTTCAAACTGAACATAAAACAAGCTAAAGAAATAATAGAGGGTTATGGACTGCCCAAGTCAAATCCCAGATTTAATTCACATTATAATTTTGTAGGTAGATTTTGAAAGGGCAGTTTATGAAAGAAAACCCAAAAGCATCTTGCAAATGAAGCAATTTTGCTTAACCGGTATGATTATTTCAGATTTTTGGTGCTGAAAGCGGTACCATTTTTTTGCATGGAAATATGTATTTTTTTTTTATTGTAGGTCTGTAATTTAGGAATAACTCACTGAAATCTGTCCGAACAAGAGTCTAGTAAACATCCCAGATATGATAAAACTTGAAACACAAAATCATAAATTATAATTTAATAAATAATCATAAAAAATAATATAATAATAATTAATTTAATTCAATAATATAATCAAACCAAAAACACTGAAATTTGAAATATAGCGCCAAGTTCGCACATCGCTGAGCAAAGTTGCAGAATCGTTTTCAGTGTCTGATGAGGAATTTCCCCCACAAATCATTATCACTCAATTCTGCAAGTGGTTCTGATTTACTATCGCTGTTCTCTAGCCGGTCTAAAACCGCTTTTGACGTAAAGGGACGCTTTTTGGACGCCATGGACTTTTCTAAGTTTACAGGCAGAAAGAACAGTCAAAATGCAGGCAGGGCACAGGACAAAGCAGTAGGGACAAAATGTATGTGAAATGGTTTGAAACAGCAATGTTTTACTATGTAATAATCATTTTTAAAAAAATGAAATTTTTAAAAAAATTTCAAATTTGCCGCCGGTTCCAGCGCCTGTACGGCCCGACGTCACAGGGACCGGAACACGGATGCCGGCATCGGCCGGAGGAGATGGCTGGGGACGCTGCAGGGGATGCGAAGGACAAGGTAAGCGCTGCAGGGAATCCCTATGCAACGCTGCATGGTAAGCCCGAGTGTAGCTCGGGGTTACTGCTTTTGGTACTGAAACTTTACCCCGAGCTACACTCGGGAATACCGCCAGGGAGGTTAAGAAAGGATCAAAAATTTCAAAATATTGATGTCAGAGTCTAGTGGGCAGGTATACATAATGCTTATTATTTCATTTCTACTCAGGGTGGGGGGGGCTATACCAGCATTTGATACCAAAGGCGTAAATACTTTTTTTCACAGTACACAATTACATATATTGATATTTTTTGTTGAATAAATATTTAGCCATTTCCCTCACATTACACATGCAGTATATGCAGCTTCTTAGTGGATAGGCTTTAAAACCAAGCAGCTGCATATATGCAACCCTATGTAAACATATTACTGTGCTGAAAGTGTGCTCCCTGTGTGCTCCCAGCACAGTAACCAATGGGTACCGGAAAGCTCCTGATGCATACTTGCGATCAGGAGCTTTTCAATCATGTGGCTGCCAATCAGAATGCTCGCCTCCGCCTCTCGGCAGTTAGAACCCCTTAAAGTGGTAGTAAACTCTCCCCCTGAAATGTTCCACATTTAAATAATCAGTGAATACTTAACAAACTTTTGTGTGTAGATGTCTCCTAATCTGCTACGGTTTTGCTTGTAAACTATATATTTCATTTTGTTGACAAGGGGGGGAGTCCTCTTAACGGCACAATTCTCTTATATAATAAATTTGAACA